AAGTAAAGTAAAGTAAAGTAAAGTAAAGTAAAGTAAAGTAAAGTAAAGTAAAGTAAAAGTAAAGTAAAGTCGAGTCGAGTGAGCAGAGTGAATGCGACTTACCATCGCGACGGCGGTGGCGCACAAAGTGGGACTCGGCAACGAGAGCTGCTTGGCTTGGTCGGCTTGTCGCGTCATGGGAAGGTAAGAGGCAGCGGCGTCAAAGACGCTCTCCAAAGTGGGCTCGACCAATTTATAGTGTCCGGCCGACCGAACGCAAACACCTTCTCACCCTCACGTCACGCCAATACACTCAGCACACACTGACAAACGTGCACAACAAAGACAGACGCCACACTGGCCAGATGAGGTGAAGTGGACATTCAGCCTGCGCACCCTCACACCATAGGCTGCAGCCGACGCGCAGGACAGACGACACGGCTACACGGAGCAGCCATTCGTCCGGCTCGAGAGAGAGAGCGAGAGAGGGGAGATGGGATTGAGAGGAGAACAGAGACAAATGGGCCAATCACGAGGCCGGACGCCAAGTGCTTGATCCCGCCAGCCAGACAGACGCTACGACTGTCCATTTCTCTCCCAAAACACACCTCGACACACACTCTTTCATTCGTCCACTCGTCCATTCCTGCCTCAATTTGGGGTGTCGGTTGATGCGAGGCGAGCGAAGATGGGGGACATGTGCCTTATCCTGTCGGCCTGTTGACAGTCGCGATGCTCCCTCCGATCCGGCTCGGCAACGTTGACACCAATGAAGGGTGGGCGAACTGACACGCTTGCACTCTTCACGACGCAGCGATTGCGATTGCCGTTGCCGTTGCCGTTGCCGTTGCCGTTGATGACGAGGCGAGATGATGTCGAGACGGACTGCGGTGCAGACGCAGTCGCCTGCTGCCAACCCCTTTTTCCCGCCTCCCTCGACAGTTCACACCTTATAGTCATATTTGAGTAGGGTTTTTTTGGACTACCAGTCAATCAGTGAAATGACATGTATTCACCCTATTTCGTCTAAGCTGATCAACGACTGGTAGTAGAATTTTCCCACAATCATTCGAGTTGAGCTGACTGGTAGTCTCGAAACCCTACTCTCATACGAATCTAAGTAACGCTGTCGACTGCTATAGCAAACATACGTTTGCTTCATCGGCACCCCCACCAAAAAGTATATGATATAGCAGAGGCCTGATCGTCCTTGAAACTCACTTATGCCCTGTGACTCAAGGCTACTCGTGGCAGTGTAGCCGAGGGGTTGACGTGTCAAGCTACCGTCCTGCATTGTCGCGGTTCGAGTCCCGCT